ATCCCCGCAATTATCGACCACAGCAACAACGATTTCGTGGTCTGGTATGTCCCTCTCACCTGCTCACGTAGTCTGCTTCGGCAACCCATGTGCTTTAGGGAATCCAATGCCATCATCCAATATATCATCGACAAGTACGATAAGGAGCACAAACTCTCAATCGCACCGGGCACGGACGAGTACTACACGCAGCTTCAATGGTTGTACTTCCAAGCTTCTGGCCAGGGCCCGTACTTCGGCCAGGCGGTCTGGTTTAGCGTAGCCCACCCAGAGAAGGTCGCGAGTGCTCTTGAACGGTACCAAAAGGAAATTAAGCGTGTGTTGGGCGTGCTCGAGAGTGTGCTCTCAAAACAGGAGTGGCTTGTCGGCGGCAGGATGACCGTCGCTGACATTTCCTTCGTCCGGTAAGTGCGTGGTGCTCGCTAATAAGACTTCGATCACCCACACGCACGTGTTGCAGGTGGAACATCGACGCCGCGACGCGCCTCCTGGAGAACTTTGATTTTGAGAAGGAGTTCCCTGCCACCGCCAAGTGGCACAACAAGCTCCTCGAACGGCCCGCCATTAAGAAGGTCTGGGAGGAGCGTGCCAGGTTGGTCGCTCAGCAGCAGTAAGTCGGATACGAGACCGTATAAGTCGCTCTGTCAGACTGTGATATTCAATAAAGTCTGCATCTCAGGCTGGCAATGTACGCTCATTTCTGGACAAGACGACTAGCGTGTCCCCAGGTAGAAAAGTCCTTACTGTCATTGCTGCGTAGCACAGATGCGACCGAGAGCAATCCGAGGCCATGGGTCACACTAAAAGTCAGGTTCGTCGCAGGCGTGTCACGAGGATCGCCTACTCGTTTGTGTGACCGGCCTTGACTTCCCTCAGCTTTAGAGCACTAGTACTGCTCAATAAAGGGTAACTCCGGCCAGTCCACGTTCGGGAAGCCTGCTAGATCACGAAGTTCGATGGTCAATCTCGGCCCTCCTGAAAGGATATACACGAACCTGGACATCTTCTATGCACTCTTCCCTGTACAGCAAGTGAGATGTTCATTTGTTCTTGCCATGAGCCAGGCGGGACACTTCCCGGTTAGGTTCTATGCAGGCCGAGATACAATGCTTGGGCCTACCGCCCTCGTAATACTGTACATGCTCGAGGTCCTTCTTCTATATCCAGCGGTAGTGGCCAGACGCGTTGTTTGGAGCCGCCCACCCTCTGTTGCCATGACGTGCGGGTGTGATTCCCCTTCTGATTAACTGGGATATTTCGAAGAGCAGAAAGCAATTCATATCAGGTACATAGAGTGGAGTACGATTAGATTAACCGCATGTCAAGCAATACAGGATGTAGCCAAGGCGGTCGTAAGTGCGCATGTCGCACGCCTCCCTACCAATGTGGGCGGTAGGTATACGCGACATTTATTGGTGACTGTAATAGTGTCTAATTAAAACCGTCAATCTTGTTCTATGTTGGAGAGGTAGAGAGATAATCAGCACCGAAAGAAAAAACGAGCTGCAGACCGAGAAGGTATCTTTTTCAGTACTGGCGTAGAATACTTGGAGTCATCGGCCAGTATGTCAATTTGCTCGATGTAGACGTGGGGGTCCTCGTCGTCGTCAGTGGTGACTGTATACCAGCTCGTGGATGATGCAGAGGATAATGAGAGGGAATATCGCGGGCGGTGTCTGAGCATGGCGGCAGGAGTGTCGGTATACTTAGGCTACTTGACTTCATGGAGGTCATGAAAAGCGATGGGCGTGTGCTGCTAGTTGCACTCGAGAGCGGCGGTGACGCGCTGTCGAGGCTTTCGCGTTCGTTGCTGCAGTAGACGCGACCATCCACCGGCCTGTTGTTCTGCGCTGAATGCACCGGCCTGATCTGCTCGTCCCAGACACAAATTACTCCCTTTTCGTGGGCAAACTTCTCGTCTAAGCTGCTGTCTCCGCCGTCGTCGACGGCTTCCTCGATGATCGCGCCCTCTTCCGAGTCGTGGAGGGCGGGCCACATGCGCTCGGTGAAAGTGAGCTTCTGGTTCATCGCGATCGCCTTCGCAAGATGGCCCTCGTGGCGTGCGTGCAGTGTCCGCCGGAACGAGCGCGCGAGGAACGATGACAGAACCCGCAGCGGCCGCTCGTGCGGGATCATCACCGGTGCCTCTTCCACATCCAGATTCATCGTCTACGCGCTCAGGAGCTGCGTAACACGCTCGGCCGTTGGCTCTGTGTGTGAATATAGTCAGTAGCGTCGAGGCAGAACAGTCAACTAGCTCACTTTGTACACGCGTCCAAGAATTTTCCTTCCTGGCTTCGGGTCTTGTACAGCCTGCGCAGCGCATCATCTCGTGTCGCACTGAGAACGGACACTCCTGCTGGGATCGCCCTTCATATTGCTCAGGCAGCTGCAGAGACCCGTAAGCACGTAAACAAGCACCTTTGGGAGCTTATTGATGAGATATTCTGCTATCGTGGATAGACACGACGCTGTGGCAGAGCGAAGTCGCCGTCCCAATCGCCAAGTCTGGGGAAATAGTCAGATCTATTTGAGCCAGAGCCACATATGTTTATTTACCTCGACACAGCGGCGTCGACGATACCGCGCAAGACCTCCTTCTCGCCTCCCGCAGCCACGAAGTCGCTGTGCACCGTAACTTCATACTTCATTCCGAGCAAGCCAGTATGGCACACCTCCCATGCGTCGCCCTTCCCGCTTTGTCTGCATCTCTGGGTGTCGGTAGCGGGTTTCTGGCCAATGGGAAAGTCCTGCCGGATCATCTCGAGCGGGATGGCGTGAAATCTCAAAGTCGATCGCTGCGGTATGTGCAGCAAGAGAGAAGCGAACATTTGCGAAACTGTCTCACGCACGAGCGCAACGACCTGGTTGACGACGAAGTCGCTGAAGCGATCAAGTATGAGGACGTAGAGGAACTTGAAAATGAGGCCGTTATGCCATTTCTCGTGTGCGATCTCGCTCTCTTCCCATGACAAGCCGGCTGTGCAGACAGGTGTCAGCATCTAAAATAGCGATAGCCAGGAGAGAAGCCTATCTTCCAAGCTGCGTCAGAACCACTAGGGACCGCATAAGTGTAAGCAGAGGCTACAACGCAAGTCTTACTGTGACATCTACGAATATCTCGGGAATCCCGGGATGTCCAAGTCCGAATCGTAGTGAGCGTCCAGAGAACTCCCACGGAGGCGCCTAGCGGCTCTGCGGCGAGCTGTGTGCGCTTGTTCCATTTGAGCCGAGGAGATTGGCGTGCGAAACGAGACATGGGACTCGGAATGCACGATCTGGGACAAAGATACCGTACACAGGGCCCCCGCGGACAGCATCCTGGGCACTATCTGCGGGATTTTGATAATCGTGTGACCCAGATTCCGATTGCAGCAGAATCTGAGCGCTCCTGTCCAAAATCCGTTCGATTTTTGTCTGATTACACTTTTGGCTCTGCTGTAATCACTATCAGCCGGATTTGGTATATCTCGCAATCCGATTCTTAGTTGAAAGCTTTTCCGCATGGTACGAAGCGGGATACACTCGTGTGAGGCCAGAGGAGCACAGAGGTACATTGAAGGCCTATGGGCAAGTTCCCTCTAGTAACCTGTTCCTCGCTTCTCTAGTTGCCCCTGCCACCTCGCATCTACCGCCTTCCGAGCTGTCTCCTAGTACAAGTGAGGGCCTATACTGCACCAGGGCGCCCGTACTGTGATGCAAA